ACTGAGACCTGAACTTTTAAAACCATGCCATAAAACTTTCTCAAGTATGACGAAAAGGTCAGTAAGTGAACGTATTTCGGCATTGATAATACGATGTCGCGAATGCATACTTTCATCCAGAAATATACGCAATACCAATCTAGTGATTAACAACAAATTGGATCGTTCATAATCTAAAAAGGATACAAAATTTACAAAGAACGAAAGAAAAAAATAATAAGGATAAAATGATGAAAAATTTTTTCGTGGCTCATTATAATTGAATTCCACAAACAGCAATCACCGTTACCCTACATAAATCGGTTAGTTTGCAACTAACAATGAATAATCGACCATGTTTAATTAAAACTATAATTGCACACAAACAGCCTAGGCTTACGTTTCAGTAAACTGCAAACATCATTTTTCTCGAACAGAAAATAACACGCAAAGCAAATGAGTCACTGAATTATATATATTTAATTAAACTGCTTATCTCCCTTCATTATTATTTCTTTCGCTTTCAGTAAATTAATAATAACAACGTTTAATAACCAAAATCTTTGCCATTGCATAGCAAACAATAAGTTCTAAATGTCTGAAAAACAAAAAAGACGCAAAAATTATGAGACGTAAAATGAGTCAACCGATTTCATCGTTCTTCATCAAACGACAGTCCGGAACTAACAACTGTAAACTAGGTGTATTCTATAAGATATTCCATCGACTATCATCCTTTAAATTTCATCAAATAACCAATATATATATATGTGAGTTAAAAGTTTATGGAGGTGCAAGTGAGTGCATTTGATGTCGTGCTTGGTTTATATTGTACAGGAAATCAATAATGACAAAACAAAACCTTTCGTAATTTTTTGAGTTTCAGTAAGAGTGGTACTAAAATCGAATCCAAACAATTCCAAAACATTCATTGTAGTTGAAAGGTTGTAACAACAAAACCAATAAGCTGATACCTGGAAGTAATGAAAGATACTAATCAACTCATAGTTAGATTTCCTCATTAGTAGAAAACAGTCCATTTGTTTGATCTGAAACTTCGCCAAATGTAGAAGGGTGGAAAGAATGTGATGTCATCTTACAGGCCAATTTTATTATTTGACTATTAATCCTTATATTCATATCCTAACATTTCACTGCCTTGAACTCGACTTTCTGGAAAGGTTTCGAGAGCACCCAGAAAAACTCGTAAAACGTCTTGTTCAAAAAAAAAAAAGCTACACAGAATGGAAGATCCATATCATGTATTCAGTGTAACTTCTGCAAAATGTTCACAGAAATCCGCTGGCACTTACAAAACTATCCAACGAGACTTTATTCTCTTGCTAGCAGTGAGCACGATTTGACATGATATTTGAACAAAAAACGAAAAACAACGAAAAAGAGGATGGAGAGGTGAGGTCGCAGTAATGTATTGTTAACATGGATTACCATAAAAAGTGACAATAAGAGTGACAGAAATTCTCAACAAGCAATAGTACGAGGAGTGACATAGCACGTCCAGCACGCACCAACTTAACCCCACCCCAGAATACTGTCAAACACTTCCGAGATATCGCATCCTGGCCCGAGCAACGAGTCAGAATGTGCCGTTGCCAGGTACGATTAGCTACAAATTAAGAGTCGGAAAAATGTCACGTGGTCGGCGGTGCGTCGTTTGCGTTCTATTGCTTCATGTAGAATTCCGATAGTTCAAGATTTTTTTGATCCGTAATCACAATTACTATAAAAGTTATATCCACATTGACTAATTACCATTACTTGTAGTATCCCCAATAAACCATCCTCAGTTACACCCAATGTCATCTATTATTTACCAGTTTTGCACAAATATTTTTGACGAGAACGCAACAAAAAGATTGGATTCAAAATATTTGTCATGCCGTTAATTCACCTAGTAGCTGTGGTCATTGCGGATATACGACATACAGAAACCACGTGACACATGTCAGTGGATTACGGTACAAGTTACTATCGGTGCAAGCCTTTACCTTTAAATCAAATCTTCCATCTCTTTTCTCTACCAAATGTTCCATCTGTTTGAAGCCACTACTCCCCATTCACCATTTTATCCCTGTTCTTTAGCTTTTTGCAACTTCATAAACCTTTTTGACGTCCCTCCCCATCACGTCTTCCTCCGATGTAACAGCTGATAACGGGGTGAAGCTAACGTAAATAGTAACTGGGATTGTTTCAATAGAATGTTGATTCGGTTTTCGTAGTTGCCAACCATTTCTTAATATTCCTTGAAAATACTGTTTTTCGAATGGGTGTAGGGTGGTATGATTGGGTAACCGCAAGAATCGTCCGGTTCTTTAGACATCAAACTAAAGTCCATTATGAGGTATCATTTTCAGTTAATATGTACGTTACAGATACATTTCTCAGCATTCAAATCGGTCATTGTGAATTTCATTTTACTACATATGGTATCTCTCTGTTGTCATGTATCTCGTTGAAATTTGTATAAATTCGCTACCTCGTTCTTTCTGTACCTTATTCTGGTGTTATAGTATTCTGGTTTATTTGATACCATTCTTCCACTACACATCTCTTGCGCGCAAACCATGGTCCTGTTATAGCATTTTCGAAACTAACTCAAGGAGTTGAGCTAATTTTAGATTTTCAAATTTCCCAGTTTTTCAAACAGTCTGGCTTATTAAATCACCGGTACTTTCTCTTGTGCTTAAACCTATGACATTACCTACATAAATTACCTTCTCCAAATAAATTTTGATGCTATTGTTGGTGTATCTTCGGTCGCAGATCTTTAGGCTTGCATGCTATTGTATTTTTATGATGATCGTCGTAGTTATTTTTACTTCGGAGTATTTGAATTATCTACTATTTTCATGAGTGCTGAAAAGTAGGAAACAACCTAGTGATGTCATTGTTTGGAAGTTTCTTCAGGTAAATTTGTTACTGTTGCTGGTACTGGCTTTTGGGCAAGGAAGGCTTTAAAGATGAGCAGTGTAACAATTGATGATGTTTACGATGCATGCGAACGTCTGGATAAGGCTAAAGTTAAGGTTATTCATTAACTTTCTCACTATCCATAAATTTAGGATGAGTTTACTTTGGTGGAATTGTTATAACGGGAATAAATATAACTGTTATGGCCTTTTGTTAAAAGTAAACATAGAATTTTGCATAATTTATTAGACGGATTTAATATTCCTTTGAAATGTGGATACTTTAATAATGACGGGCTAGTAAACTTAAGTAAACTTGGTGTCTCTTGGGTGATACGAGAAAGATAAAAGTTTACGAAATTGCAGGACGCCGAAGATTACAAAGTTTTCATTTCGGGCACCAAAGGAAATGACGGAAAGGTGAAAAAGCTTTGTGCTCACATGATCGTTCGATACTGGCAAGATTTTACGGATCTACGAAATGTGGCATTTTATTCACTTGTTTCACTGTTGGAAGACCGAGATCCTGACGTATCCGTTTTATTGCGTCTTTCATGTATTGAATGCTGGTATTTAATCCTGTTTATCTTTTTTCGTTTCAGTCCTTTTTTTCTAATTACATGTTTAGTGCGTTTGCAGATTCGAAAGGCAGTGATTCGTGAAGTACCACATGTAGTCAAGTCTGGAGAGCTTGTTGATAAAATTGCGGATGTACTGTCGCAAATGCTGCAGCAAACAGACGAACTCCAGGAAATAGCTATGCTTACCAACGTCCTTGTTCAGTTTTTGAAGTCTCATCCGAAAGGTTGGTACTTGATAAATAGAACGTTTATGACATGCATTGGTAGGAATCCCTTGGATCAGAATAATTTTTTTGAACTATGAAAATTCTTTATTTCTCTTCAAAGTATTCGTAGGAGTTTTAATGAATGATACTCATACGCAGATGTACTTTCTGCGATATTTGTTAATGTTGTGAAGTCGGAGGAAGAATCGGTACGTTTGCGATTACTGAAGTTCATCCAGCTGCATGTACGCGACATTCCAGTTAATTTAATGAACGAGGAATTAATGCTATCCATCGAGCATCACATCCGAGAGGTAATCATATTTCTTCCCTGTTATCAAATATGTCTTGTGTTGAACGATCATTTCTCCATTGTTAATCAATATTTTGTTTTTGATTTTTGCAGGTGCTTAAAGATATTACAGCTGTGGAGTTCGATTTGATTTTTAATTTTATGCGTTCGTTGGAGTTTTTCCGAACGGCGAAAGGACGCATGATAATGTACAAAATCGTTGTCGATCAAATGCAAATTGATGAACCATTCCCTGTATTTTTTTTAATAATTCGTTAAGAATTTTAAAGATTTGTAACTGAAAAACATTCATAAGTTGTGTTTTTGAAGCTTATAAGGTAAGGAACAATTCTTTGCCGTTGATCAGTAATGAGAAAAGCCTAGAAATATTTTGTAAAATTAGAACGCTTTTATGTTGAATATATTTTGTCGTGTTTTCTGTTGTAATACAATTAATTTTCAACTTACAGGCTAACGATCCTCAACGATTTGATCAGATACTATATTTCGTTGAACGAGCGCGATTGCTTCTTTCGGTCGGTTCTGTAACAATGTAAAGAGAAAATTATATAAAATTAAACGAGTTGCCGTTTATCCTACTTTTGTGCTGTCGTTTGTCGTCTACCTTCCTTTATCCTTTTCTTTACGCCTGCTGCTTAACCTGTGGTGTTCGCCTTCTGTGGAAAAATTAAATTAGTAGTGTAATATACTTTATTCTAGGTCAATCATCGAAGTAATGAACTGGTTAACTTTATGATATCCAAAGGCATTCCTGTACTTGAAGAAGTAAATGCGGCGTTACGCATTAGATTTTTGCGAGCTCTAGTTGAGCTTGCTCCGTTTTCCAAATCATTGGAACGTAATGATTTAATGATTCTCTCTGATTATTTTTCGGTAGGTATTCAATCTATATTTTGTTCTTTAATATTTTATATGTTACATCAATTTACTGTTCTCAGTAAGCTTGGATCAGCATTGTTAGCATCACTAGCTTTTTGTCTGATCAGCATGCAGAAATTAATGTTTCACAGATCCTTGATTAACTTTAATAGGATTGATTTTTTTTTGATTTTCAGAAGCTTATACCTCCACTGCCATCGGAACGTCCCGATGAAAATATGGGAGATATGAACACATCTTTGGAACAAGAATTACGTCTCAGCGAATTGGAATCAACATCTTTAGCTTTCTCATCGTTCTGTAAAACAGACAAGACAGCTTTTGATTACACTTTGGAACATAGTAAAGATTCATCTAATTGGCGAAAAAGGTTTTTTCTGATTTCGATGTCACCTGGTTTCTGAAAAGTGCTCAATATCTCAAAAAATTTGGCAGTGAATGTCTGTTGTGTTGGAAGAATGACAACAGTTATTCATTATCAAAGCTTATATATTTTCGATCAAAGCAGGAATAGACTATATAACAGGAATGGGCTATACAAACAGGAATAGACTACCCTTTTCTTAATCGATATAAGGAAAGATAAGTGTAGTTAGTTATGCTATTGTGTCGATACTTGATTGACATTATCTGTGATTGCATACAGAAAGATAAAATGTGTTACATACCGAAAGATGAATTTTAAACGCAGCTACAACTTTCCACTATATGCTGTATTTATCGCACGATTTTTCAGAATCATTTACTTGGGTCGATTGTTGCAACAGTATATCGTTTCGGCGAATTCTGAATTACAGAAGATGCGTAAAATGGAACCCTCCAAACGAGACACGAATCAGCTTTCTTTTCAACAAAATTCCCTGAAAATGGCAGAAAACACTCTTCATCTGACAAAAATGCTTGCTCACAAATCTCCTTCCTTTGTTTTTACCATAACACCAAGCTGGAAGATGGAAAACAGGTATATTTTCAATCGTTTGTGAGGGTTTTTTGACGCAGTTTTGTTTCGAAATCTACGAGCTTTATGGTCTTCTTCCAGAAAGCGGGACCACGAGTCGGACGTTAAAACGGAACAGAAACGAAAAAGACCTCTTCCTGATTTCTATGTGCCACCTGGCGGAAAATATAGTGGTAAGCGTTTCGGACTTATTTTGATTTAAATTTCGTAATTCCTCATCATATGGTCGTATAATTCAAGTCTCATGTTCACGTTACATTTTCTTTGTGTTCGTTATTCTTTTTGTTACCGATCAACTTAGTGCAGCATCTTTCACGAACTAATCTGATTTTAAGTCGATTTTCCATTCCCCGAGAGAAGTTAGCAACCATACTTAATTTTAAGATTTCATAGGTTACGTTGTTTGGGAAAATGTGGAAGACAAAATGTACACAGAAATTTCTAGAGAAAAAAAAAGATATACGTAAAACATTTTTTAGGCATGTTAAATCGAGGTGGCAGAAGGAATAGTGCAGGAAGCCGTTTCAGTCGGCGTTAATTTTATAGTTCAAATTCAAAATTTCTGTTGATACTGATCTCTAACTTACTGTTATGGTTGTACTGTTTTCATTTCTTTTTTGCTGTTGTTTTTAGTTATTATGCATAGAATTACAATTGGCATGATTTATGCATCGTTACCTATTCACAGATCCACATTTTATTGAAAACAGTCCATGTAGCACCCGAAATTTATATAAATGTCGTTAGACTGTTTAAACATGAAGTCATTTTTTCTTTTTTTTTGCTGTTATTTACGGGCTGCTCATGTAATGTGCATCTTTTGCTTACACTTTTTTTGTTGTAGCTGTATTCTTCAGGTCGATGAATATGTTGCTAGCTCTGGATCGCAAGAGCTAGTGAACTTTTGGCAGAGGCAGGGTATTTTTAAAGAAGAAGTGTCATTTTTATATGAATTGTTGATGCTCTTTTTGAACTGTGTGCCCTAATCAGTTTTGTTGTCACATTCCAGAAATTCTTCTGGATATATTTCCTTTTTTTTGTTTTCCAATCGTATCTAAACTTCTTGGTTCTCAATAAACGATTGCACTAACGAAGGAAAAATATTTGCAGTATCTTTTCATGGAAGGTTGGAGCCTGATTTTATTGTTGGGAAGTTCTATAACCACCAGAATATCAGTTTTTTTTTTTAACATTTGAACTTTTGAAGTAACTATATTTGCGGTTTTTATTACAAAGATAACTTAATCTAGGTTTCCGGGAAATGGAGATTTCCGATGGTAGTATACAAGAATGGCCCGATTCGGACAGGTTGAAAGAAGCGCTTTTATTGGCAAAGTTTGATAATTGCTACACCATGCCTGGTTTGAAGTATCTTTACGGTCTATTTGAATTCGTATTTTCGATATGTGGTTTTGGTTTTTGTAGTTTTATCCAGGTTGCGCACAAATATTGTTTTTCGGTTGTCGAACTGTCCATTACTTTTCTGCAGGGCAACTGTAACTTTACCTGATTTGATGGTCAATATGCTAGAGCAGAAATTTAACAAAACTGTCTCTCGACCATCAGTTCCCAAGGATATGGACGGGGTTCACCTTCTCATTGTTGGTTTCTTTTTTATTTCCCGACAAAATTTTCTGTTTAACTGGCTGGAAGCAGATTTTTCAAAAAATGTTTACTATAAAATGCATTTTCGTGAGAGTTATGCCAAAAGTACTATCACAAATATACAATGAAAGTAAAAAGAAGTTCGGAGAATTTAAATAGTTTTTACTCTGAGTTATTATATTCCATAATCTTGGTCTTGTAAAGGCACAGTAATCATGACATTTTGTCGGTTCCAAATATTTTAACAATAACTATATGAAAGTTTGCAGGCCGATGGACATCTTCGAGCTGCCGTTAATTTAACTGCTGAATTGTTAACAGAAGTTAATCAAGGGTTTGGGATGGCTGGCCACCCTTCGAACAACACGGAGTACAGTTTCAAGGTTTACTCCTTGGAATATTATTACACGGACAGAGATTGAATTTCTTTACAACATCTTTTCACAGATTTTCCCCTCATCCTTGCTGTTATTTACGTTTGGCTTGGATCCCCTGATAGATGGCGTAGGTATGACTAATTTTTATCGATATATCATTCAACTATAATCTAGAAAGAACTGAAATGTGATCTATAAAGTAAATTTCTGCTATTTTATCGATTGGATTTTTGTAGGTATGGGCATGCCGTCTGCAGTTGCTTATGGCTTTGAAATTGTATACATTATTGAATGACGAGTTGATACCATTCGAAGAATTGGATGCACCAGATCTGTTCTATCAGTACTACCCCAATCTGTATCCAGAAAGTCCCAAAGGTATGCATTCACACACTGAAAATATCCTTGGTGTTTGTAAGAGTCAAAAAAAAAAATCTACCAAATAACATCCGAGGTGGGAAACACCAATAATACACTAGAAAAAAAGAAGAAATACTAAGCAATGAAGGGAAGAATTGCAGTAAATGAATAAGTCAATAAAAGATAGCGCCTGAACAAGAGCGGTATTAATATAAATGATTGCCGGTGTTGCAACGAAATCAGTTACTTTAACTATGTTTTCGTTATCTATCTACCTGAGAAAGTGTAAACCATCCAGATTCAGAGGTGCATGCCTCTCTTTTTACTTTTTTTTTTTTTTTTTTTTGCGGCAATTTGCAAGATTAAAGATTCGATACTATATGCACTTGACCACCCTTGCCTTGTATTTATATTTTGAAACGATTACATGGAGCAGACGAAACGATTTC